AATTAAAGACAAACTGTGACATTGAACCCACATTGCACCATTGTGGGAAGTATGGTGCGATTTCCACCGAAATACGTAATAAAATCCAAGAATTGTACAAGATTAAGTACGTTAACATGGTACCTCCAATTATTACGCACACAATTTTCTTTCCATTATGCCTGTGGGTGTATAAAAGGATTACCCATGATTGTGATGGAAATTTAAAAAAAATAAAGAGAAAAAAAACGGTTTTTTTTCTCCTATAAAAGGAACAAAGCTGTGATACAAATAATGTGATAAAAATCGTTTTTTTTTTTCTCTCGCTCTGCTCTTTTTTTTACTCTTTTTTAAACCTATTGAGAGTTATGAAATCGAGAAATATTGATTAACTGTTATGTTGATTTTAATGTTATATTTTTTTTTCTGTTTTTCCTTTTTTTATCTTTTCTTTTTATTTTTATTATTATAATTGTTATTGTTATTATTGCCTCATTGTATAAAAGTTAAGTTCGCGATTATGCAATAAACAGAATATTTAAGTATGTGTAAGTGTAATATTTCATAATATTTATGAAAATTTTCTTGACTTATTCAAGCATACACAATGCACACATTTCTGTATGTTTATTAAAAATTTATGTAGATATGTACACACATATGTTGAGCTGTGAAGAACATGATTTATGGAATTACTTTCAGAAAATATTAAACAAAAGTGAAAAAAACATAAAAGATTCAATAAAACGATTATTAATAACATATTTTTTTTTTATGATCTTTATATAGGGGGAGTGCATCACGTGTATTTTTACCATATTCCACAAAATATATTCATTTGAGTTCATGAATATTGGAAAAAAAAATAAATAAAATACCATTACAGAGGTGACATGACATAGAAGCATAAATTAAAAATTATACAGAAAGTTGTAAATAATTGAAATTCAGATGTGTATGGGATGATTCTTCTAAGAATTTTGTAAGGATTTTTAAAGATAATCTAAATTTTTAGCAGTTTTGCCAAAGAATAATTAGTTGTACAACTCTTCTTAAAAAATTCTTAAATGAAATCGAATTTAAACTCATTATACCCGTACGAACGTATGTTCGAAGGGTATACTAAATTTGCCTTACCGTTTGTAACGCTAAGAAATAACGGTGTTAGATATAGACTCAAGTGTATGTTTTTGATCAGCGTCAAATTCTGAGTTGATTTAGCTTTGTCTGTCCGTCCGTCCGTCCGTCCGTCCGTCCGTCCGTCCGAACGATAACTCAAAAACTAATTGAGCTAAAATCACCAAATTTTCACAAATGATTTATTGTAGTAAGTGCCAGAACCCTATTTAAATTGGACATGATCGGGGTACCGGTTCAGGTAGCTGCCATACAACTTCAAAATTTATTTGGCTATATCTCAGAAACTATAAAAGTTATGGTATTGAAATTTCACACAAACGAATATATTAGTAGGGCCAATATGCCACATAAAAGTCGTTGAAATTACTTGGCTCCTTCTGGTACCTGCCATACAACTTCAAAAGTTATTTGACTATATTTCAGAAACTATTAAAGCTATGGTATTGAAATTTCACACAAACGAATATATTAGTAGGGCCAATGTGTCACATAAAAGTCGTTGAAATTACTTGGCTCCTTCTGGTACCTGCCATACAACTTCAAAAGTTATTTGGCTATATCTCAGAAACTATAAAAGCTGTGATATTGAGATTTCACACAAGTGAATATATTAGTAGGGCCGATGTGTCTCGTAAAAGTCGTTGAAATTACTTGGCTCCTTCTGGTACCTGCCATACAACTTCAAAAGTTATTTGACTATATTTCAGAAACTATAAAAGCTGTGATATTGAGATTTCACACAAGTGAATATATTAGTAGGGCCGATGTGCTTGATAAAATTCGCTAAAATTTCTTGGCTCTTTCTGGTAGGTGCCATACAACATCAATAGTAGTTTGGCACAACCAGTATTTTGAATAACACATAGTACTGAAATTTTACATAAATTAATATGGTAATACGGCAACTTAAAGTCATAGTCTGCCTCATAGTTAATTATGGCACATTAGTTATTCGCACATAGGATAACAAATTCGTACGGGTATCACAGAGTTGACAAGGTCAACTCTATTTTTTTTCTCGTTACTTAATAATTTTAATAATTATTACAAAATACTTATTAACATATATACATATGTCAAAATTCTAAAAATAAAACAACCCAAAATTTAAACTATAGAAAATTCATATTTAGTAAATAATTGGTAACGAGATTATTTATGCAACAACGTACATATGTAATGTAATTATTATTTAAATTCTATAAAATTAAAAAAAATAGTGGCGCCCGATTATGTTCCTAATATCAAATACAATCCTAGCAATAATTTTATTTCATTATTATATTTTTAGTATGAACAGTAAATTTTTAAAATTTGCTAGAAATTAATTAGGTGCTTGCATGCAAAATTATTGTTTAAATTCTGTAAAACTAAAATTGACGTAATGGTTTAGTTTAAGTTTTAAAATGCTGTGTTAGTAACAATTCTTAGTTATTATTTTCCGTTCAAATTCTAAATTATTATAGTTTACACAATTATAAATTACTTTTAAACAATTTAAACAAATATAATTGCGATTTTGTAACTCGGGGACTTATTTCTTGCCACCATATTGTATGTTATATAGTTGTTTTATCACATTGTTATGATTAAATAAAAATTGGCATTTAAAATTAAATTAACTACCTTTAAATAATGTTAAACTGTGAAAAATATAAGTATATATAAAATTTTTGTTTATTAAATTAAAAATGCATAACTATAAACCATAATTCTTAATGTACACAACAAAAAAAAAAAAAAGAAAAAAATCCGTAATGAAAGGTTAAAAATTGTGGAGGAGGTTTTATTGATTATTTTCGTTTATTTTTTTTTTTTTTTTTGTTTCATTAAACTGCCAATATTTATCTTAAGATATAATATTAAAAAAAAGCAAATATATTATAAATATAGGGTATGACTTTAATACGGGTATGGTTGAATGGTACACTGTGGTTCTACATTTTGTGATATAATAAATGTACCTTTTGTTATTTTGACCTTAACTTACATTTTCAGTTTGTACATATGTTATTAATTTATTAAATTTTTTTTTCATTCAATCTTTTTCAATTTTCTTTTACTTAATTTTAAAAAACTTTATTTTTTTTTTAACTTAAATAAATACAATATCAGAGATTTATCATGTAATCAATTTAAAAAACATATAAAAACTGTAATAATGTATATGTGGTTGTAAGTAAGTAAATAATGTAATTATGTAGAAGGAAAACAGTTAAGTAAATATGCTTAAACTTAATTTGTATTATTGCGTAATGTTTGTTTAAAGGTTTCGGAATCATAAATTTTGTATATTGCAAAATTCAATTAAGAAAACATGAAACCGTTATGAGAAGTTAATCAATTATCATATTACTTAATTCTATTTGGGATTTTTATTTTCTGATTTTGGGATTTTAGGAAACATTGAGTACATAAATAGTTAAAAATGGCTTAACTAGCTCAATCTAGAACAGCAAATCACTAGCTTATTCTAGAGTAAGAACTGGAAATATTTTTTTTTATATAAGATAAATTGAAATTTTATGAACGAATAAGTAATATTAATTATTTTTGAAAACTAAAACCTCTTCCCCACTACTTTTTACCCAAGTAATAATGTCCATGAAAATTCTACATATGGATTTTTTTTACAGCTTAAAACACTGGCGCCTGAACATGTTCTTAAGATCAAGTGCTAATATCTTGAATTTACTCTTAAAATTAAAAAATATATTAAACTAGTTTATTTTTCGAATTTTTCTGCAGTTCTTTTAAAATTTATGGAAATAGTCATGCCCATATAATATAACAACAAATAAAGTTTGATGCAATTTTCGATAACAGAATAATCGATAACCTACACAAAAAACAAATGCAATAGTAGTGATATGAAAAATGCATTTTGGTAGTAAAAACACAGCAATATTAAAAAAAATTCAAAAGTTCATAATATTTAAAAAAAAAATAAAGAAAAAAAATAGTTGTAAATTAAATTAATTTTCTTATTTTTTTGTTAATTATTGTGCATATTTAATTTGTTTCTGATGTAATTTAGTAAAGCGGTGAAAATATTTTTTTTTTTGTTCGAACGACAATGGTCTTGATAACATACAAGGTATGAAAAATAACAAAACAATTGTTTGCTTTTCTTTTTAACAATGTAGTATTGCTGACTTCACATAAAATATTATACTTATTTTAATAATATTAAATTTTATTTTATTGTAAATTATTTAAGTTGAAAATAAAAATTTTAAATATTTAACTTAATTAGTTTAAGTACTCATATGACATCAATGACATTGACAAAAAAAAGATTCAGTAGAATTGTTGTAAATTTTTTATTATGCGAATTAAAAAAATTTTATTACATTTTATTAAAGCTAATTTTTAGTGATTTGAAGAGCGAGAATATGCTACATTCGAATAATTTTCAAATTATATAAGAAGAAATTTTAGAACCAAGAACTAGTTGCCTTAAACACTTAATCCTACATTAATTTTTTAAAATTATAAAAAACCATTCTGAATTATTAATGAAATTTTTGTTAAAAATAATAGCACTGTGTAAATATGTGACACAAAACGAGGAACACGCAATACAAATTCTAAACACATAACACGATTCTATGGATTCATAATACTTTGAATTACAAAACTACTTTGCCTATACACAAAAGTATCCGAGAGGAATATCTACGCACACATATTCCGGTAAATGACTCATCATTTTTAAATGTTAAAAATAAATGTCAAAACATGTACAAAAGAGTTTTTCATTTATAAAAATTCCTTTCAACTACTCCCCAGTAGCCTAAAGTTTTATATTCCTCAAAAATTGAATGCAATAATTATATTATATGGCTACAATATTATTTCAATGCAATTAAAATACTTACGAAATTGATTTTATAATTAAACAATTTTATTTTTCAATTAAATTAATTCTTTTTTTTGCAATCCAATTACCATTTAATTCTATATCGCTTAACTATAATTTCTATATTGACTAGATTATTTTAAATACATATTTAAAAGGATTTAAAATTTTAGTGATGATTTAACAAAATTTTACAATTCTTTTTTTTTAACACCTTAAATTTCATTGTAATGCCAATAAAAGTATGGCTATATTTAAAGGAATACAGAAATTTCAAGAATTTTCTCACGCTCAAAGTCATTCTATTAAAATGACAATTATTTATTATATAATAACAATAGATACTTGTAAGGAAACTTAACAATGACCGATTCAAAAACAAATAAAATATCTAGCTATATACGTATGTATACGTATCTACCAGAGTATTATGCATAGTTACTTACTTGTTATAGATTTAATGTGTAATCCAATTTAAATTTGAGACAAAATTTCCTTTTAAAAAATAATTTCATGATACAAAATAAAAGAAAACACAAATGTAAAAAATTACAAGTAATTATTAAAGTAAAGGTTTTAGAAATAGCACATTTAAATTTTAATATAATTTATATTCAAAGAGTGGGTCAAATCAAAGAGTGGGCCAAAATGAAAAAATGCAACAATAAAGCTAAAATTATATTAATAGTTCAACGTATGAGTCAAATATCCTTTGGTTAGTGGTGAAAGACGTATGCATTGCTCATGAAAAATAAATCGATGGCAGTTCATAAAAAATCTTAAATCAATCAAAATTCAATTCAATATTATCAGAAATTGCCGAATAAAAATATAAAACTGCCTTTACTTAATATGGAATTCTCAATTTTCCGTTTCTAATAAAATACTCACCTTTCTTATAAAACAATATAACGTTGAACAATATAATTGAATTTTGCATAAAAAACGCGTATACAATTATAAAATGTTAAAATTAGTATAGTTAAAATACATTACTTATCTTATTGCTCAAATTCCAGCAATTCCCATAATGGAAAATGTGGTTATAACTACCTAGACTAGCACATTTTTAAATATACATTTCTTTCTTACAATTTTCAGTTTAAATTTTTTATATTCCAAAAACATATTATAATACAAAGTAAAGAGCTTAAATTACAAATCAGATCACAAAAACAAGTAAAAATAGAACCAAATAACTACTAAATCTTGTATATAAGTACATATATGCATATACACATGTAAATATAATATTGTAGCATTTTTACAGTCAGGAAATTCAATATATTCTTCCATAATTTTTTAAATTTATGCTACATAAATTACTATGTAGATATATTTTTTATATTTTATATTTAAAATGTTATTAGAATCCTATTAAGGAATAATAAAAATATCAACTGTACCGGCATATAAGGTAAAAAAAAAAATTAAAATGTCAAACAAAAATTCGAAATTATAAATTTTATCATAAGTTTTTCTGTACAGTAAAGTATCTAAAAATATTTCATGTAAATTAGATTCTTAAAATTTCATTGTATTTCATCTATTTTGTAAATTATTTTTTAATTTTCGGAAAAGTTTAATTCATATAGATTTGCAATTTATGGTATACTGATGAGCGATAATACTTTTTTTAAAATTGATTTTATCGGATTTTTCGCCTTTTGTTCTTGAAACTTGAAAAACAAAATGATTCTCAATCCTATTAGCCTTTTATAACCAGACAAAATAGCCTTAATATATGAGAATAAGCCCTTGTTCAAGTTATAAAAATTTAATTAAATAAACATCCGAAATGTCTGGCTACATTCAATGGCATACAATTATTACTGTTGAGTAGTGTATTAAAATTACAAAATTGTTCTACTGAACTTAATTGGATTTCAATAAAAACGAAAAATATTTCGGATTTTTTTTGGTAACCTCAGTGTATATATATGTATATATATATACATTATATAAATTTCTGAAAAAAAAATAAATACTGTTATGTATTGGCAAAATATTGGTCTAAAGCAAATCAATAAAGTAAATAAAAGAATGTCAAAATGATCCAAATCCAAGTTTATACTGTTATAAAATGAAAATCCTTAAGGGATTTCAATGATTTTTTTATTGTTCTTAATTATTATTATTCCTATTCGTCTATATATGTATATTTATACACACACATACAAACATACATGTATTATTTTCTCATTGATATTTATTTTTATTTTTGTAAATTGAAATTCAACTTGGCATCAAAATTCAATTATTTCAATTACATTATCGAATTTTTTTGTATATATGTATATATATGTATGTATGTAAGTAAGTATGTATATAAAAGTTTTTTAATTGAAAACTCTTTTTTTTTTTTCAATTTCAATTTAATTCTTTTATATAAAAATAAATATAAATTTTTTTTCTTGCTGTATTGACAAATTCTTTTGCCTTATTGTTATTTTATTGTCCAGTGTACGTACATTATATATACATACATATATATTTTCAAGGAAACTCAATACTATTGGGAAATTAAATTTTAAGGTTCTTTCTGTTTTTCTCACAATCACAATTGTAATAATACACGATGTATTTTGATTTCCCGGAAAATAATTGTTGCATACTTACTTATTTTCTTTTTTATAGTTTTTTTTTCTAAATAATTTTTATTTTGTAAGGCAAACATTTGCTCTTATATTCTAATTAAAATATTAATAAACAATGCATAAATTACATATCTGTACAAAGTATGTACATACTTGTATATTTTATGTATAGTGCAAGTAGTTTTACAATTAAAGTTCATTATTAAAATTTTTAAAGCATAAAATTTCATTTTCGGTGATTCTAAGAAAATTTATTTGATTTTTATTTTAAATCTTTTATAGTAAAACATATAGCAGATGATATTCAACATATTTTTGTAACATGATACTCTCATTATTTTAACTTGCTGAGCCGGTGTTATTAAATAAGAGAGAAAAATAATTTTTATACTTATATTGTGATTTAAAATAATAAATAAATAACATCTGTAATGTAAGAATGCAATGAGAATAATTTTAAATGAGAAAAAAAATTTAAGAATTCAATAATATTCGCAAGTATATGTATACAGCTATAGTTTTTGAAATTTGAAATTAAGACGAGAATGAGAGCGTGAGCGTTATTTTAATTCTCTTTTTAAATAAATTTACAGAACATGTAATCCATATATTTTAATTATTCATGGCGAAGTAAAATGGAACATATTTAAATATATATAATTATAAGCAATATTAATTATTTCACCAAAATTTGTTCCAATATTATTGTTTTTAAATTATTCCTTTATGACTATTACTTTTGAAGTAAAATTTCATAAATTTTATAATTTCCGTGTATTTAATTACAAATTACTATTATTCGGATATTATACTGAAAATCCTATATAATTGACCCACATCTAAAAGCCCAATTACTTGCCATTTCAAATACAAATAGAAAATGAAGGAAAGTTGTTCTTGTATTAGGCGTTCCATAGTCAATCGAATATCATAGGGCATTATAAAAGAATAACAAGCAGAAGAAGCACTTATACTTGTTATTATTATTGATGAAAAATATTATGGATTTAAATTCCCATTTGGACATTAAAATTATATATATGTATTTGAAGATTTCGAAATTGTAAAACATTCGATAATTCCTTAGTTCTTACGAGTAATATTTGGAAATTTCGTAATATCATCAATATTACAAAAGTAATTGCTAGTACCCAAAATATTATTCTCTGTATATCGAAAGTACAATTACAACGATTTCACTAAATAATTATTAAAAAAAATTTTGACTTGATATATGTAAGTACCGCAAAACAAATTATTTTTATGAATGAAAATATGAATGAGTTGTAAAATTTTTATTTTATTTATAATTTTCTCATTTTTTATTAAAATTTTTATTCTAATAGAATTCATAAATTCATATCAGTTTTCCGAAAACTTATTACAAAATTATTAAAAATTTCCATTTTTTTAAAAAAAAACTATATTCCAACGTTGTTGATTTTTTAAACGTGAATGCATGATGGCATTTTTCTCTCTGTGTATTTCTTTTTTAAGAGTTTCTTATGATGACGGTAACTATTAATAGCAAGCTCAGTAATTTTTAATATAACAATTATAGTTAATAAAATTACAATTAAACTGTTGTTGAACAAGAATTCTTCTATTAAAATATTGATGTTAGCTTCGTCTTTTGACATGGTTTCTTGTTTCGCAGATGAGTTACCCATTTCTTGTTTTTTTTTGCAAAATAGTTTTTGTTAAATGTCCTGTTAATTTTTTTTTATTTTCAAAAATTTTCTATTATATTTAATATATTTCACTTGGCCAATTACAAAATATAAGAACGACAAGCAAATTTTATTTTGAATCCTGAATTTTAATATTTGAATAGCAGCACACACAATTGCAATATTTGGCAGTACTTCAATTTTTTACTAAATTTATTTGTTCGTTTTTTTTTTATTTCAATAAAAATAAATTAATTCTTTGTAAATTTTAACAATATTGGATGTTCATATTTTCTGTTATTGTATTAAACTACTGCTCTCAAAAATTCCAAAAGACTTATAAGTATTTGATACTTGAGTATCTTTTCATTAAAATTTTACTCAAAAGCACTTTACTTTCTCTCACTCGGTGCAATTTTTTTGATTTATAATTTGTTATAGACTACGCTTTTTTTATAATTCAATTAAATCCTCGTGTGATTAAAGTTCCTCGAATAACAGTATTGCTTGTATGAATAGATTAAATAATTAAAGCAGCTACTTTATTTATATTGAATTCATTTTATTTTTAATGGATTTTTATTTGTAATTGATTTAATGTCGATGTTAACAGTGAGCCAATCAAATACAGATTTAAAAAAAATAAAGCTATTATTCTAAAATGTCTATTGTGTTGAGGCTCTTGTGTATTTTTATGGTGCATCAAATAGGAAAGTGCCCACATAAAGTGGGGTGGAAAAAATTGACCACTTAAAAATTATTTGTTTTAA